AGTCCTCTTTTTTTTTTAAAAAATTGTATATTAGTGCATTATATTATATATCATGTGGGGTTCACTTTGACATAGTTATACAGGCATGGAGTATAACTTGTTCCATTTCAGTCCCAGTGCTTCCCTTTGCCCCCTCCTTCCTCCTTGTTTCCTTTCCTGTATTCTACCAGTCTGTCTGTCTGTCTGTCTCTCTTTCTAGTTTTTAAATGAGAGCATTGTAGATACACATCAGGGTGAAATGCCCTGTGGTGTGTTCATCCAGCCCATGGGTAGGTTTGGTCAGTCTCTTCCACTGTTCCTCCCTTTTCTGTCCCTCTTCCCTCCCCACTGCTGAGAGCCATAGCCGAGTCCCAATGATGCACGGCATTTTTGCCAGAACAGAGTGGTTGAGAGGTGACGCCAGCAAGCCATTGAGATGATAATGGTTATGTTAAGCTGTGTATATTAGACCCCTGCTGTCCACCTAGGCCTGCTACTTTGGAGTTCTCGCAGGGATTCTCCGAGAGTTCCCATTGGTTGGGGAAGTGCCGAAGGAGGGATTTCCGGTTGGTGGTTCCTGGAGGAGCCGCGTGGGTGGCGTTCAGGAGAGTTCCCGGGAGTGTGTGTGCAGTGTGTGCTGGTGGAGTTCAGAAATAAAGTTTGTTCCTGCTTCAGTGGCTTGTGATTTGTGCCCAGCCAGACTGCGGCACCCCACCAGTCACTTCCTCTACTCCATTGATCTTTCTTCTATTTTCATGGGATTCTCTGGGTTTTTCTGCCCTTATTTTGGTCTAGCTTCAGCATCTGAGAGGAAACGTTTGATCTTGACTTTGAGTCTGGCTTATTTCCCTTAGCATGATGTTGTTCTCCAGTTTCATCTGTTTGCCAGCAAATGCCGTCATTTCATTCTTCCTTGAGTAAAACTCCTCTGTGCAGAGAGGCCACATTTTCATTATCCATCTGTCTGTTCTCTGGTTCCCCAACTTGGTCATTGTGGATTGCACTGCTATAAACACTGATGGGGCTAGATGGCTGTAGTGTGCTCATTTGAAGTCCTTTGGGTATGTGCTGGGGAGGGGAGAACTGGGTTAAGTGGGGGTTCCCTTCACAGTTTTCTTTCTTTTTACTCCACACTGCTTTCTGGAGTGGTTGTACTAACTTTCAGCCCCACTGCGAGGTCTGAGTCGGGTTTCCCCACATCCTTGCCAGCCTTGATTATTATTGTATTCTTGATGATTGCCATTCTGATTGGAGCAAGATGAAAGCTCAGTGTGGTTTTGACTTGTGTTTCCCCAATTGTTAGAGGTGTTGAATCTTTTTCATATATATGTCGGCCATTTGCATTACTTCTTTTGAGAAGTGTTTAGTTCTTTTGTCCATTTATTAATAGGATGGGTTTGTTTTTGGTTTTTTTTGGTTTTTGGTTTTAGCCTGCGGCCAGCACAGGCTTCATAGGTGAAGGTTCAGCTGCATGAGAAATCCACAGGGAGTTTGAATTACAGAGAGAGACTCTAATTACCTTTAAACCAGCTCCAGGACGGCTTCTCCTACCTCCAGCTTCCAGCTACCTATTAGGGTAGCGAGATTTACTGAAGAGGCCAGTGAGAGAGAGAGAGGGGGAACACGCCAGGGAGTGGACTTTTATTGGGGAATAAAAAATTCTGGAGAAAATCCCATCCAATGAAGATTAAGGGGGCAGTGTCCCAAGGTCAGGTGAGACGATTGGGTCTTCAGGGGCTGTGGTCAGGCACGCCTCCACACAGACAAGCCCTCGGACCCGAAGGGTGGGGAAAGCTCTGTACACAAAGATGTGTCTCAGCGCCTCTTGCCCGGCCAGGGAGGTGACTCGAATCACGTGCAAGGATGGCCTCCCACGTTTGGTGTTAGTTCCTTGATTTCTTTATATATTCTGGATATTAATCCCTTGTCTGAGGAGCAGTGATAAAGATCTCCCGTTCCATAGGCTCTCTCTCTTCATGTTCTTGTTTTCTTTGCTGTTCTTTGCCTTTTAATTCCATGTCATCCAGCTTACTGACTCTTGGTTTTATTTCTTGGGCTTCAGGAGTCTTGTTAAGAAGTCACTGCCTGTGCCTTGGGTCCTTGGTGAGCCACTTGTCATCACTGTGTCTGGAAGGTTTCCATTGTGATCAAAAGACCTACCAGAATCTCCCGGAGCAGGAAAGGCCAGTTTCCCACAGGAATGAGATACCATTAGCTAAAATATTGGGGAAAGATATTGAGCAAATACTAATAAATCATCTGTCCGCTGTGTGTTTCGTGTTCTTGAAACATGGCTTAGCGTTTCACCCAACTGCTCGCCCTCATGCACGGGGTTGACCAGCTTCTTCACTGTGCGAGGGTGCTTGGCTGAAGGGATGGACAGGGTCTGAAGTCTGGCCCAAGGCCCTGCTCAGAGTGTCCTTTTTCTGAGAAGCACTCTTTTATCATTCACCCAAATTTCTGTGGTCTGTGTGCACAGTGGCCGCAGAGCCCACCTCTCCATCCGACCCTCTGAACGGCTTGTGCTGCAGTAGGACTGCTAGGAGTAGGGGCGTGAGCAGATGTGCTGCACATCTGGATCCCATCGACCAACTCCGCGGCACTCCCTTAGCCACATCCTGAGAGATTCTGAGAGATGACGCGTCTTGGGAAACCCCCCTTTCCCCTTTCTTCCCCATTTCTCTACTTGGCGTTGCTTGTTGGGCGAGTGTCCTGAGCACATTTAGAGCTTTCTGAACTTCAAGTTGGCTGAATCAGGAGAGGAAGCTGCCCTCCATCCTTCTTGTTTACCTGCTTTTCTCCGCCATTTCCACTTTCATCCACCTGGTAATTCTGCTTCAAGAGGAAGAACTTGCCCATCCCTGGTCCTTTGGTGGAATAGATCTTGGGTTTGTTTTGCATTTTATTTGATTAAAGACTTCTTTGAGGAAGTGAAATGCTATTTTTTAAAAGGCAAATGAGTTGAATAAATAAAAACTACTCAGTCTCACTCCGGTAAAGCTGCAGATCTCTGACATTCTAGATGGGTAGTTTCCATTCCAGAAGCTCCTGGCCGCTCTTCAGGTCTTTTTCTAGTACTCAGTTTCATCTCCACTCTGCATGGGTTCCCTTCATGGGATGTTCTTTAAACATATTTTCCCTATATACTGATCATCCTGCAAGGGACAAAACTGGCAACTACTGTCACTCTTTGACACCTGTGGGGAACTGGTTCCAGGACTCCCCACAGATACCCAATTCTGTGGATATTCAGGTCCTCATATGAAATGGTATTTGGATATAACCAATGCACATTCTAGCCTAAACTTTAAGTCACCTCTAGGTTATTTAGAGTACCTAGCACAGTGTAAATGCTCTGTAAAAGTTTTCTACTATCTTGTTTAGGGATGACAAGAAGAAACAGTTGTGTGTTCTCAATACAATGCATTTTCGGGGCTGGGGATGTGGCTCAGGCGGTAGCACGCTTGCCTGGCATGCGTGCGGCCCAGGTTCGATCCTCAGCACCACATTCAAACAAAGATGTTGTGTCTGCCGAAAACTAAAAAATAAATATTAAAATTCTCTTTAAAAAAATACAGTGCATTTAAGCATATTGTCCACCTGTGATTGGTTGAACTCCTGGATGTGGAATCCGCAGGTGTGGAGGGTCCACTGCAGCATTTCATCTACTCATTACCTTCTCAGCGCAGGTCCTTAGAAGTCTGTGCTGTGGAAGTTAAAAAAAAAAATTGTGGGCCTCAAACATAGATATTCTTAATAGGTTTGGGGTCCTGGAATGTATATTCTGAGAATTCCCTGGTAGGCATTCCCAGACTTCCCATAATCAGAGGGAGGAGAGGAGGGTGAATGAAGGACGAAATGGGTGAGTCAGGCCCTTGGCCTACACAGCCCCACGTCTTTCTCCCTTTTCCACAGCTTCCTGTTTCTCTTTCTCTCCGAGGAGAGGAGGTGGATGCTCCAAGGCACGGAAAACAAATGTACTGAATAATGCAGTGGTTTTCCTTAAAACCAGCAATACTGGTGGCAGCTCTTCTTGGTCTAGCTTGGTAGATAGGCAGTCCCATAGGTGGTGGGGCCACCTGTCCTTTATCATATCAGTGACAGTGTCTTGATCTTGGGAGTACAGACCCACTTGGGTGTTGGTGACATACAGCCGAGGCCTTAGACCTGTCAGTCGATAGCTTTGAAAGCCCCTCCAGCTGAGGCAGCATTTGTGCAAACAGGCTCTCCACCTGAGCAGGTGGCGTGTGGCCCTGCAGCTTCAGTGCCCATCACACTCTGATTAACTTCAGTGCGTGTCTCTTTAGAGGGGCCTACTGTGGGAGGAAGGGCCAGGCAGACTTTGAGAAGTCCGGAAGTGCGTTCCAGGCTTTTGCTTTGGTTGGCTTGCAAATTGCAATTGAATGAATCTCTGTAATCCCTTTAATCAGTTTGGTTATTTTCTAAATAATAGAAGGATTATATTCTTTAAGTCAGTTATAGGGAATTTTTTTTGTATGTCAGAACTACGACTATGACTGTAACCTAATTTTATATCAGGATATCTACCAGGCGTTGTTACTGTAGACATCATCATCATTTCTTATTTTAATAACAAAAGTTGATTAAGTTGTAAATAAAGTAATATGGCTTATTATTTAATGTTTAAAGTGTAGTGAATGCTATCTACTTTATCTTGTGTATGTAAAAGTTGGTGTCATTAGATTGAGTCCTCTATAGTAATTATTATTTCATAGATTCATCCACTGTGGAACTTCAGAGGCCGCTAAAGACCTTACATGGGAATTAGTTACATAAAGTGTGCAAAAATAAGAAATGCTTTTAAAAAGATCGAGCACAAAAAATAACTCTGTAGTTTCTTTCAAAGCAATTATGTGGCACAGAACAGTTGTTTCTGGCCCACAGAATCTAGTGTGAGCACCTTAGGCTGCTTAAGATGCGTTTTATACTTTAACTCTGCAAATCTAGATAGCAGGATAGTTCATCTGAGTTTTAAACTTTGATTTCTTTTTTCCTGGCAGATCCAGTTCCGAGGTGGAGCTTCTGAGCATCCTTGATTCCTAGAGGAAGCGCTGCCGAAGGATGGAATCAACAGCTTAACCTTGGCAGGTGTCTGGGTGGCTCTGGTTCATCTGCTATGGTCACGGAGCCTGAGGTCTAAGGAATACAGGGACTTTTGTGATGACAATATGACTAATAGTAAAGGAAGATCTATTAGCAGTAAAACAAGTGGTGGTTTCAGTAGTGGAGAAGGTTTTGTCGATTGGACTTTAAATTTAAATACAATTCAGTCTGACAAGTTTTTAAACTTACTGTTGAGCATGGTTCCAGTAATTTACCAGAAAAGCCAGGAAGACAGGCACAAAAAGACCAACGGCCTTTGGCAAGATGGGTTGTCAGGGGCAGGCCAGGCGTTCAGTAGCAGGTCCGAGCAGCACGTGGAGTACCACGGTTTCTCCGAGCAGCCTTTCCACGGGAGCAGCGGGCACGCACCCTCAAACTGCAGTCCCAAGTACGACGACTACGCCAACTACAATTACTGTGACGGCAGGGAGGCCTCGGAAACGACTGCCATGCTGCAGGGCGAAGACGTGTCCAGTGAGGGCGACGAGGACGTCATTGTGGAAACAAGCCAAAAGTTGCCCAAGGAATCCAGTGGCATCATGGCCCTGCAGATCCTGGTGCCGTTTCTGCTGGCTGGATTTGGCACGGTTTCAGCCGGCATGGTTTTGGATATAGTCCAGGTGAGTGCTCAGGTTAACCCTGCTCTCTTTCTGGTCATTCCATCCTCATTAAAATGCTCTGTTCGTATAGGTTAAGAATTTCAAAACAGCCAGCCAACCTACTTTTCTTTCTCACTTTCTGAAGTGCTGGAATTTGAACTCAGGGCCTCGTGCATGCTAGGGAGACGCTCCACCACTGAGCTTCATCCCTAGATAAGAATAGTCATTCTAGCCATAAAGTAATTCAAAACAAGTTAGTTCATGGAAAACCCAGGGCTGGGATATATCTCTGTGATAGCATGTGTGAAGCCCTGAATTTGATCCCCAGTATAAAAAGGGAGAAAGGAAAAACTCAATAAATGTTTTATTAAATACTTGTTAATATAGTCAGTAAAAGTTAATATGTGCTCATTAAAACAAATCCAAACATTAAAGACTATTAGGTAAAAGATGGAATCACATTTACTACTCATCTCCAAACCCACACTCCCTCCTTCCAGAGATTACCACTGTTGAGGCTTTTTTCTGTGGTGTATTTATACATATCTGAGTTCTTTTCAGAAATAAAGATGAAATGCTACATATACTTTTCTGCAACTCATTTTCATTATTTAGTAATACATATTGTACACACATTGGTTCTCAAAGATTTCTGCATTTAAAATGAGTGCTTTGGCTGGGGACTAAGCTCAGTGGTAGAGCACCGGCCTAGCATGTGTGAAGCCCTGGTCCAATCCCCAGTAATTCAAAAACAAATAAAAATAAAAATGGCATTAAAAATAAGTGCTTGATGTTCCATTATATGTATATACCAAAATTTATTTATTCTTCTTCCATGCTGCTGTTCCAGTAAATATCCTGGTGAATGTATCTAAATGTATCTTTATGTACTTGAACTAATATGTTCATAGGTTATGAAATATATATAAAATAAAAATATATATTTTTTGGTAGTACTGATGATTGAGCTCAGCACTTTGCACTTGCTAGGCAAACATTCGGCTACTTCCCCACTCCTTTGTTTTTTAAATTTTATTTTGAGACTGGGTGTCCTTAAGTTGCCTAGGCTGGCCTCAAACTTGAGATCCTCTTGCTTCAGCCTCCTGAGTAACTGGGATTATAGGCATGTGCTATGATGCCCAGCTCATAGAATACATCTTAAAAATGAGATTTCTGCTGGGCGCAGTGGCTCAGGAGGCTGAGGCAGAAGGATCCTTGAATTCAAAGCCAGCCTCAGCAAAAGCTAGGTGCTAAACAACTCAGTGAGACTCTTTCTCTAAATAAGATATATAAATAGGACTGGAGATGTGGCTCAGTGGTCAAGGGCCCCTGAGTTCAATCTCCAGTACCCTGCACCCAAAAAAGAGATTCTGAAATTCAAATGGCCAACAAATACATGAAAAAATGTTCAACACCTTTTGCAATCAGGAAGATGCAAATCTAATTACACTGAGATTTCATCTCCTTCTAGTCAGATTGTCAGTCATTGAATACAGATATGCCGAGCTCATAGGCACACTCCTGTTAACTGGAGGCTGAAGCAGGAGGATCACAAGTTCAAGGCCAGCCTCAGCGATTTAGTGAGACCCTCAGAAACATAGACCCTGTCTCAAAATAAAAAATAAAAAGGACTGGATATGTACCTAAGTGGTAAAGTACCGCTGAATTCAATTCCCAGTAAACTTCCCACAAAATACAAATAATAATAAATGCTGGCAAAGATGCAGGAAAAAGAAACACTTCTATGCTATTGGTGGGGCTGTAAATTACGGTAGCCATTATGGAGGTCAGCAAGGAGGATTCTCAAAAGACTGGACGTAGCACCACCACATGACCCAGCTCTACCACTCCTGGGTATTTATCCAAAGGAATTAGCACACTACAGCGATCCTTGCATTCCCATGTTTATAGCAGTACAATTCAGAATCGCCAAGTCATGGAATCTGCTTAGGTGTCCAACAGCAGATGACTGGATAATGTGGTGTATATGTACAACAGCAGTTTATTTAGCCATATGAAAAATGAAATCATGTCATTTGCAGGGAAAAGGATGGAACTCGAGAACATTCTGTCAAGTGGGATTAGTCAGAACCAGAAAATGCAGGGCCATAGGTTTTTCTCTCATGTGGAAGCCCCAGAGAAGAAGGAAAGAAAAGGGACCTTAGGAAAATAGACCAGGAGACCCGAGGGAGTAGGGGAGAGGAAGTGGGGGTACAAAGGATGAAATGAGCCAAATTTTGAGTGTGCATCTGTGAGGATATCACAATGAAGTCCATTATTAGGTAAAACTGTAATTCACCAATCAAAAAAGGAGTCTGCTGGGTGTTAGAGTGTGTGTGTGTTTATAATTTTGCAGATATGTCCCATCTTGCACTCCTACCATAGATACATAATACTCTTATTTTCCTACACCATATCAGCACTGGGTATTCTTGATCTTTTTAATTTTTGCCAAGCTGTGGGAAAATATTATTGGGTTTTAATCAACTTTATCTTTCTACTGTTTTCTGGGTGCTGGGGTTGAACTCAAGCCGAGTGCTTGCTAGGCAGGTGCTCCAGCCCTGAGCTTCACCCGGCCCTCAACATTTTTTGATGGTTCTTAATGTTTTGTGTTTTCCATGTCTTTATTTTAGCCATGGTGATTTTTTTCTGTCAATTACTATTTTTGTATCTTTTATTCATTTTAAAAATGGATGTGCTACTTACTGATTTGTAGGGGGTTTAAATGTATTGTGGTTACAGAACTATTTTTCTGAAGTAGTAAATTGTCAAAATGTGGTATCTTTTACTGTCAGTTTTCATCCTTCCGAGGAAGGTTGACCACGGCCAGTGTGTTAGGCAGGGTACCTTGTAATTTGCTTTTTATAATTTGCTTCCTAAAAGAATCTCAGGTTATTTGTGACTCTGAGCCATCAGTCGATAGCATTTTTATCTAAATGGAAATGTACACAAATAGAAACATTCCCACCAGCAGAGGGCAAAAGGAATTGTATTAAGTTCTTTTTAACAGAAGATAACACCAAAGGGGGACCGACCCCATCTAACATTTGAAATATGATTGTTTCAGGTTATTATGATGGTGTCACAAGATGCTACAGTGGATAAGCTGTCTTTGGTTGGATTTTTTTCTGATATACTAATCATTGTGAAGAAACACCATTTAGCTGGTGGCTCCTATAAGAATAACATGTTAGGGGACAGAGTGGCCGAGTATTTACGTGGTTCTTCATGTGCATTCCTCCGGTGTCGTGTTTGCTTGTGTCTTGTTAGTGTTGGAAAGACTAGCACATGTATAATTAATTAAAGGTCCTGTGGACTTTAGGACTACTGACCTCATGAATTTATAGTGTCAAACCTTAGTACTAAAAATGGCAAAAATAGTATGTAAATGTTTTGAAGGATTTTATTTAGGCTTTTAAAAACTTTTTATTTGTAAAACTTAATGCATTCAGAGTGTACAAAGCAAAAACATTAGAGCTTGGTGGATTTTTATAATACAAACTTCCATATAACCATCAACCAGCTCAAGAAACAGCATCTGTACAATCCTTCATTAGCCTTCTTTGTGTCCTTAAGTTTCATGGGACCGTACTTTCATTTATTTTCATTGCTGCATAGTACTCGATTGTATGAATGTCCTGCAATTTCTCTATTCTACTATTGATGGACATCGGGAGAAAGAGTGTTTGCAGTAGGTGTTCGTGTGTACAAATTTGTTGGCTCTGTGTATAGATATGGGATTTCCAGGTCTCAGAATATGTAGGTACTCAAGTTTAATAGATGTGAGGTGGCTTTCCAAACTAATTGTACCAATTTTCCCTCTAGTTAGCAGTGTACAAGAGATCCTACTGGTCTTTGTGCTTATTTATACTTGGAATCAGCTGTCTTTCTAATTTTAGGAATTCTCACACATGCGGGTGGTTTCTCATCATGGTGTTAGTGGGTATTTCTCTGGTGCTAATGATGCGTGCTGACCATTTGGATATGCCTGGTAAAATGTCCTTGCTGATTTTTTTCTGTTTTTCCTAGAGGCTTGTAGGAGTTATTTATATTTCTTGAATATGAACTTTTAGGTTCTATGTATTAAAAATATCTATTCCCCTGGCTTGCCTTTTTATTCTTTCCGTGGTGCATTTTGATGAGGAAAACTTCTTAACTTTGAAACATTTCTTCCTCCTACTTTCCCTTGGTTTGTGTTGTCTCTTTCAGAAATCCTCCCATACCCTGTGGTAATTAAGATGTCCTTATGTCACCTTCTCAGTGCTTTGGTGCTTCCTTTTGCTTTTAGACCATCCCTTGCCTGGACGGACTTTTTGTTCAGAGTGGGAAGTGGGGGCTGTATTTTTTCTTTCCACGTACATTTCCTGTTGTATCCATGCTGTTACATAATTGCTCTCAAAATAATATGTCAAATTTTGAAAGGAAAACAAAGCAAGACTGAACTGCGGCCACTGCCTGGCCCTGCTCCTTGTGGTGAGTCAGGTGCGGTCTCCGTGGGGTGCCTGTGCCCTCGGTCCTTTGTGTGTTTAAGGATCCTGGCTCCATCCCTGCTGTCCCCTGGCTCTGGTACAAGTCTTGGTATGGAGTAGAGGTGTTCTCCTTGCCTTGTTCATCCTCAGAAGTGCTTCGGTGATTCTTTGCCCTCTGTATTTCCATCTGCCCCCTACTTCCCAGAACTGGGAATTGAGCCCAGTGGTACTTTACCACTGAGCTATATCCCCAGCCCTTTTAATATTTTGAGACAGATTCTCATGAAGTTGCTGAGGCTCTTGCTAAATTCCTGAGGCTGGCCCTGAACTTTCGATCCTGCTCCTCCTACCTCAGCATCCCAAGTCACTGAGCTGATAGGCTTTCACCTTTGTGCCTGGCCTATTTTATTTTTGAGACTGGGTCTCTCTAAATTGCCCAGGCTGGGTTTGAATTTAAGATCATCCTGCCTCAGCCTCCTGAGTTCCTGGTAGTACAGGCTTGTGGCCCTGTGCTGGGATTATTCATGGATTTTTTTTTAAATACACGATAGC